GAAAACAGAATTTCACTGTTTTTTCAATTTTTCCTTTTTTTTAAAAATTGCTCTTTATTTTGGCAGGAAGCTTGCTTGTTTTGAAGGATAGATTTTTCTCTGTTTTCTTTCAGCCCTGTGAAAAACCGTTGCCATTTGCATACCTCTGCTCCAACACCCTCTTTCAAGGCAGGAGCCATTGGGCACCTGGACATCGGACTGGACACCAGGACTCTTGGGCCTTCTTGTGGTTTTCCCACTGCCACAAAAGACTCCTTTAGGGTACATCACTCAGCATCACGGTATTCCAGGTATCCTTATCCCAGGATCCCACCTGACTAACATTAGGTAACAGCGTATTTGAACATGACCAATGGGAGAACTAATTAGATGATGGCCACTGCATATGCAAAGAGCTAAGCTGACATTACATCAAGGGAGATGCTAATTGCAGCTGATTAATCCAATAGCAAGTGCCAGAAAAAATATACGTACAGAAGTGGCACTCACTGCTCAGCTATTAATTCCCATGGCATGCCTCATTTCCAAGACAGCTTGACCGCATATAAAAGCTTTCAGCGCCAGCACTGTCCTAAGGACTCAGACTCCCTGCTCAGCCCGTCCACCACCAGTCACAGGGTGAGTTGGATTCTCTCAGCTGTCTCAGATTCCTCTTTTTTTTTTTCATAGAAACAACAAAAAAAAAGAAGTAGGTGGGTTTTTTTCTTTTTCCCAGACTGTTTATCCCCGAGGGCTTGGCCATCTCTGCCACAGGATGCACTACTGTAAAGGTGACAGCAACCAGGACTTGTGCCACGACGGCTCGGTCTGTGGCGAGAAGGGATGGACATGGCATGGTTCCACGGGGTGCTGCCATGAAAGCCCCATGGGCACCACAGACCTGTCCCCTTGCCATGACCCCGGCAGCCTCAGCCGTGACATTGAGGGGTCCTGCCAGAGCGAGCCGCAAGGCTGCCAGCCCATGGAGCCATGCCCGCCTCAGAGCTGCTGCCCGCCACAGCAAAGCTGCAATTTCGGCAAGCCCCGGCGGCGGGTGGAGGTGAGCCATGTGCAACCCATCTGCCCCCCACCTGTGAAAATCCATCGCCGGCCACTGCAGCAGTACCGCCCACCCCTGCACTGCGAGGAGCCGGGTTGCTGCGGCAAGCCCCGGAGGCGAGTGGAGCAGTGCCCCATGGAGGATACCTGTCCCCCCGTGATACTGCATCCCCGGCCACTGCAGCATCGCTGCCCCTGCATCCCGTGCTGCCGCCCACCCGTCCAGCACTGCTGCCCGGCCACCGTGCCGCTGCCACTATATCCCAGCCAGCAGCAGCAAAAGCAGATCCCTCTCTTGCCACCCTGTCTGCAGAAGAAATGAGCATGGGGCCAGCGAGGCGCTGGGACTCCTCCCCAGCACGTGCCCGCATGCAGCTCAGCGTGGGAGATACTTCGCTCCTCACTCAAACTGCCGGTGCTGCTACCTCCACTTTCGGCACCATGTAACACCAGGAACTGGCTGTGCCCAACATGGGGGCAACTCCTGGTGTCTTCTCACATGTTGGGCACGGCCAGTTCCAGCTCCAAGACGGATCTGACGCTGGTCAAAGGTGAGCCCATCAGCAATGTTGGTCATGCCTCTGTGATGGACATTTAAGAAGGGGTAAAAAAATGCTGCGCAGAAGCTGTGATAGAGAAAATGTGAGTGTGAAACAGCCCTGCAGACACTAAGGTCAGTGAAGAAGGAGGGGGAGGAGGTGCTCCAGGCCCTGGAGCAGAGATTCCCCTGCAGGCTGTGGTGAAAACCATGGCGATGCAGGTCATCCCACTGCAGCCCGTGGAGGTCCATGGTGAAGCAGACATGCACCTGCAGCCCGTGAAGGACCCCATGCCGCAGCAGGTGGATGTGCCTGAAGGTAGCTGTGACCCCATGGAGAGCTTGTGCTGGAGCAGGCTCTTGGCAGCACCTGTGGCCCCATGGAGAGGAGCCCACACCGAAGAAGAAGAGCGTGAGGAGGAAGGAGCAGAAGAGACAACACGTGATGAACTGACTGCAACCCCCGCTCCCTGTTCCCCTGAATTGCTTGGGGGTAGGATGTAGAGAAGTCAGGAGTGAAGATTTGTTCTTCTCTCATATTATCCTACTCTTGATTTTGATTGACAATAAATTAAATTAATTTCCCCAAGTTGAGTCTGGTTTGCCTGTGACAGCAATTGGCGAGTGACCTCTTTGTCCTTATCTTGACCTATAAACTTTTTTGTTGTATTTTCTCCCCCTGTCTTGTTGAGGAGGGGGAGTGATAGAGCGGCTTGGTGGGCACCTGGCAGCCAGCCAAAGTCAACCCATCACAGTTTCCTTCTGTCAGGCTCCCTGTAGTGCCGCCTCTACAGTTGCTGCTCTTTATACACTGGATTCAGGGTCTGCAGTCCCCTGCTTGACCCCAGCACTGACACTTTAAATTCCCAGGGTCCTCCCCTCCCAGGGAATAGGCTTTAATCATCCAATCCCCATTTTGCTGTTCCTTAGGGCAGAGCAGCTGTTTCTCCCCTCTTTTGAGAAGGTGAGCAGCCTCGGGATGGAGAAACAGAATGGAAAGAGCCTGAGCGAGCACGGGAAAACAGCCTGCCATGGATTCACCTTTGTCCATGGGTTCAGCGGACTGTGATTTCAAGGTTGTTCGAAAACAGAGACAGGACTGTACTGGGAAAAAAGTACACACTGTGACTGCAGGAGCATCAAGGACTCCTGCAATTTTATTTTCTCCCCATGAATTCAAGAATAAAGTTGAAAAAATTTAGTTGACACTTGGTTCCTCTTTTTTTACCCCCAAAAATGTCACCAACATTACAATGAGAAGATGTTAAAAATCATTAAAATTCTCAGAAGGAAACTTGTAAATTTAAAATTAAAATTAGAGTTCACACATGAGGATTTCAGCTCTGGCTGTAGCGGTTTCACCAGGCTGAACTCCATCTGCATGCCGTAAAACCTTCTCCACTGTGGTTACCCACCGCAGGACCAATAGATGGACTTCACTATGGTTCATCAGCAAGTGATCTAGGTACAAACAGTTTGCTCTATAATGTGTGCCATCACCTTCATTAGCTAGATAGTAACGCTGCACTGGGAGGCCATCCATCATATATATCTTAATCATGATAATAAGCGCGTGCCCCAGCACGTTAGGTGTGTCTGTGCATGCAGCCTTTCACTCGGTGCAGGAAGATGCAGACCAGGCTCTTCCCCCACAGCTCCCCTGGTACACTGGTAACACACTGTTTCTCTCTTTTTGCCAGAAAAAGCCTTCCACTAGGTCCATTGAAATATATATTGTTGTTTCTTTGTATTGCCCAATCATAACCCCAGTGTGTCTTCACAGCCACTAACAACCACCACGGAAAACCAGAAAGAAAAAAAGAAATTCATTCTTGTTTTCTTAATGCAGAAAACCACAACAATTTATTTTTCTCATGTCTAATTTTAACTAAACGAAAAACCACTTACATATGAACTTTAACTTCAGAAATCCCTTATTTTAGTAGCTAATTTCTTCCCAGCCTCTTCTGACTGAAGCCACTTCCCAGGCTCTGTCCCGGCGCAGTGCCCAAAGGGCTGACTCAGAGCCCACAGACAAAGGGCCAGCTTAGCTCTCAGACCGGCACTTCCAGGGCGGCTTTGGTCCATCTTTTCTTCCAAGCGGCTTTTCGCCAGCCGCCCTAGCCCTGCTGTCCCAGTTAGTTCATCCCAGCCGCAGGACCATTTCTCCAGCCTGCCCAGGTCTCATCCTCCAGCAGTTTCAGCCACTCATCCCAGTTTGGTGCCACCTGTAGATTTGCCAAGTTCACCCCATTATCCAGGGCATTAATGAAGATGTTAAACAGCAACAGCACCAGTATCAGCCAGTTTTTTACCCACCATGTAGTTTACCTATCCAGTTCATACCTCCACCAGTTTAACTACAAGGCTGCCGCGGGAGACTGTGCCAAAAGCCTTGCAAAAGTCGAGGTAGCACCATCCATCACACTCTACCATCCACGGAGCCAGCATCTTCATCACCAAAACCCATCAGCACGATTTGCTTTTAATGACTGCGCTGGCTCTTCCCAATCACCTGTTTGTGCTTCAGGCACCTGGAAATGCTCCTCATGGGTAGCAGAAGGGGAAGGCCGGGACATTAGCACTGTGCACATCATGCCTCCTGACTCACAGGTCACCCATCAGCCTCCACTCAGTGCCTCAGTCCCCTGGAGATGGTGAATAAGTACATTATTACCTGCCTCACATAGCCGATGTGTGGCTTAAACAATGCCAATCCTTTATGTGCACTACTCGGTAACTACATCATAATTAAAAGATGCTTATCAGGAATCATGAGTCAAGCAGAACATGCCAAGCACTGGGAACAGCATCCAAATGGAGGAGATGTTTTGTTAATAAATAATTTAGTCCTCGTTCCTGCAGCGTGTTTCATTTACAAGGGGAAGACTTGGAACCATATAAAAGGCCTCCATCCTGTTGCCTCTCACAATCTGCACTCCTGGTCAGCATCTGTCTTCCCTCGTGAATTGGGTAAGACACATCCCAGAGTAGCTGGGTTCATTTTTGGATGGGTGTCTGAATTCAGGAGGTCACAGACCTGTCACGCTTGCACTGTCCTTCAGACCATACTCTACACACAAGTGCTGGAGGACGGGGGGCTAAGCCAAGAAAGAAGCTACTGGGGGACTTGGGTATGGGATTTAATAGCGATGCCACTATGTGCTGCAGTGCCTTATGGTTGTTTCTGTTCTTGGAGGGGAAAAAAATCAAGGGTAAGGTCAGAAAGGGGGTTTGGACTAAATATGACCAGTATTGGGCAACTGCAAGAATTTCCTTTAGATCCAGGCTTTCAGGATAAGCAAGGTTGACCTATGAATGGCTCACTAAAGCAGCTTTATGGGAAATTAAATGAAAACAGAGGAGATGGAAATGCAAGCCTACCTGGCCATTTGTTTTTCAGGTTTTTCTCTACAATTCAAACATGATATACTCTTCTGGAAGAGAATCATACTTCAACTTGAACTCAACCTGGTATGATCCCTCGGGGTCCTGGCTGGACACCCGGCGCACACCCTTCCGCTACGGCTACAACACCTGCTCCTCAGAGTGCGACGGCGAAGGCGTTGAAGGCATGAGAGGGCACAACTACCGGCATTACGGCTATCGGCAGCCGGTTTGCTCCGAGAGATGCCACGGCTATGCTGCGGCTGATTCGTGCCACGGAGACGCGGGCTCGAGCTGTGTCAGGAGGCCCACGTACAGCTATGGGTCATCAGGGGGATGCCACAGCTATGGGAGGTCGGTCTGCTCCGAGAGATGCCACGGCTCCTCAGGTTCATACCATGGAGGTGGTTCAAGCTGTGTCAGGAGACCCACGTACAGCTATGGGTCATCGGGGGGATGCCACAGCTACGGGAGGTCGGTCTGCTCCGAGAGATGCCACGGCTCCTCAGGTTCGTACCATGGAGGTGGTTCGAGCTGTGTCAGGAGACCCACGTACAGCTATGGGTCATCGGGGGGATGCCACAGCTACGGGAGGCCAGTCTGCTCCGAGACGTGCCATGGATCAGGGTACCAAGGGGGGAAGCCATGCTACAGTGACCCAGTGCAGCACGTCCCACAGTGCTGCCCAGTGCAGACCTGTCCCCCTCCAGTGCAGCAAGGCTGCGTGCCTGTGGCAAAATGCATCCCAAGCCAGCAGCAAAAGCAGGTCTGCAAAGTGCCAGCCCAGAAGATAAAGTAGAGGACATGAGGAGTGGGGACGAATGAGAGAAACTTCTCACTCCTGCAACGTTGCCTTGATGGTCAGCATGACCCATGCTACTACGGATCTCCACTCTTCCTGTCATTTTGCTTGTAACGTGCTTTGAAGGTGTAACCCACTGTCTCTGTGAAATATTACGTGCTATTCACCTCCTTATTTCACAGCAGTTGTGGAGGCAATAAAAAATTACGGTTCATAACCCCCTTGCATCAGTGTTTTCCACTTCATCCCTTTGAATTGCTTCTGTTCCTTCTTGTGGCCAAAGCTGGTGTTTGCAGCGTCCCCATTCACCCTCACATCAAGGCTCCTGGTTGATTCAACCTGATGTCTTTTTATTCCTACTCCAGACAACTTCCTCGTTGAGAAGAACGAGGAATGGAAATGTCAAATGTCAAACGGAAATTAGAAATGGGTTTGTAGACATCAGGGGGCACTTGGCTGGACCCGCTCTCTCTAATGGAACGAAAGGTCCCAAACTCTTTGTAAGATTTAAAGTAGGAAGAGGAATCCTTGTAAGGTTAGAAGAGGAATCACCTGGGAGGATTGTTACAGCAAAGCAGGGATCTGGAGTCAGTGACTCACAGCATCATGTCCCAGGTGGCTCCTTGTACCTCACCCAGTCCCGAGCCTCCATCGTCTCCATCTCCTAGTGTCCTGCCTGGCCCAGCCTGCAGGATGTGACACATCACAGAATCAGCTGCTTCGCAACATTCATGGAGATTTCTCCTGCAGCACAATCTCGATAAGGAAAAGAAGTAAAAAGAGGCAGAGGGCGCACCTTCCTGGGATGGAGGTTTTATAGGCGGATGCAGGGGGGCTGCCAACACTGCAGCAAGCCTTCCTTGCCAACCTCTTCCTCGCGCACGTGCAGAGGCTGATGCCAACGTGCACTACAGAGCACAGAGTTCCCATCCCAAGCATGGCTTGGTGGGGTGGCCCAGCCCTGGGGCAGGCCAGGTGCCCACCCCATGGGCTGTGCGGTGGACTGCAATGGCTCAGCTACCCCAGTGCATGCAACACCGCTTGTGCAAGCCGCGGGGACCTCTGTGGGAAGAAAGATGCCAGCAAAAGTATCAAAGCAAAGGATGGGGCTGTGGCAAAGGCATCCAAGTCTACTTTCAGATCCCCTCTGAAGCATGCTGGGCTGTGGAAGAGGTGGATGGAGGATACCTCAAGAGGGCAGCTCCCGCTTCCCACACACCAAGGCAGGAGTTGCTCTGCTTAAGCTATTTTGACATAGATTTGTCTAACCTCTAATGAGAGGGATTTCACATGAGCAATCTCGAAACAAGAGAGAGATCTTCTTTGTGTTTAAAGCACTTCTCAGGGATTTGGAGGTTTGAATTTCTACCTGGGATGTCCCCCAGATCCTTCTGAGATCTTGGGTTTTTTCTGTACTTCATTTATCTCCTTCATAAATAGAAAACCAGTAACTGACATGTGGAAGAATCATGACCACATATAAGCCACCCAGAAACCATGATCCAAACTGGGGAACAAACCATCTCCTGAGACTTGTATTAGGACAACTGCAAAGGAAATTCCTTCCATAAAACCAACAAATTACCCAAAGAAAAAAACTGCCATCCACTCGGAATAGGATCAAGGGAAACAGGGAAGCCTCTCCCTGTTTCCTGACAAGGAGCTTTGCAGGAGATATGTGGGGCTCAAAGACCAGGTCAAAACGTTCCTGTCTTGTACGTGGGTCCAGGTCTCTGATGCATGTGAGCATCCTCCCCACCAGGCCATGCTCAGGCGGATGTCTCTATTGCCGAGAGAAATGATAAACATGTTTGTCACCATCCACGTGATCTGGGGTGTAATTAATGAATCGCGAAGAATAGTTTCACAAGGATCTTCATTCTTCAGACCTTTGTGAAATATCCTCAGACACATTCTGATTTCCTCATGTATCAATTCGTTCAAGTGATTCAGCTCCATTGGTTAGCAACGAATCTCCTCGACTCCGTATTTTATTTTAATTCAATCTGTGTTATTATTAATATTACAGTGGCCTCTAGAGTCCTGGATGAGATCAGGCCTGGTGCACTCTGTAGGCAGAAAGACGCTTTTCTCCCCAAAGCAGAGCGTTAGGCCAATGGAGCCATGGATCCTGATGCCCTCCCCAATGCACACTTGAGGATGGAGGCAAAGAGGGAGGAAAGAGCTCAAAGAGTCACAGCACTTTCCTCCCTACTTTTTTCTCCAATCAAAGTGTAACAAAGGTAACCAATAGCAGGTATTTGGAACAAGTATCATGGGAATGGGACACTGTTGGAGACCTTTTGTCTTTCCGAGCCTCCTGCCTGGATGTTCTCTGTCTCCTATGGGGTTTTAAATTCCTTCTGTTTGAGTTAAAAGTCTTTCCTTCAGCAAAGAAAGGACTGACTTGAAATATTGCAACACTCCTTTTAGTGCTTCATTGCTGTTTTACTCAGAAATAGGTTTCTCTTTGATGCTGCTCCCCAGCCATGTCCCACTGCCTGCCTTTGCCCGCTCCTATCGTTCCAACCAGACACGGCCAGCAGGAGTTTGCTTCAAAGTCTCACATCGCCATCTCCCACCTCTAAACCCCAAAACCCAGTGACAGTTTTAGAGCCCAGAGGCAACTCGACTCCTTTTGTAACCCACCAATGCCAAGCCCCATCACCCCAGCAGATGTGGATGGCCAGTTCTGACCCCTGGGGCTTGGCAGAGGATGCTCACACTCCTTGTTTTCAGGGCACCCCCCACACAGACCAGCCCTGGGCTCTGTGCTCACCTTCTATTGCCCCATCGCGTGCTCACAGCTGCCTCCTTAATTCCCTTTGTCTTCTTCACCCACTTGCAACCTAGATTTTTTTCCTAAACTGCCCAAATGCACTCATTTTTCCTATGCACCACCATGGCCGCGGTTGTTCTCTTTCAAGCCCCTTTTATTTTCTGCATCCCTTTGCAACCCAGTCCACCAGCCCACCCCACTATCCCACCTTCCTATCTGTGAACTTCTTTGCATTGCTGACTTGGGCTCACGGCTGCTTTGCATTAAGCACAAGAAGCAGGTAAAAGCTTTAGTCACAGGCAGCAAAACTATCCAGAAACCTCCCCATCCCTGCACATGAACCACACCAGGCGTGGTGGGCAATTAACATTTTTATGGAGTAATGAGAGGAATAGCGATCCCAAAGGCGGGATATTGATCTGCTCATAATACCATGAGTCAAAACAGCAGTGTAAAAACTCTCCAATTAGCAAAGTGTTCAGGGTGGTGAGCAATCAAGCCCCTCTGGTGGGAGCTCATCTTGTTTCCGGAGGAAAAACACTGGGTGCCCTATAAAAGGTCTCGCACCCCATTTTTCCTCATTGTCTCAGCTTCACTTCTCATCT